AAGACCAAGAAAAGTGAAATAGGTGCCCTAGTTCTCTTCATCTTCATCCTCAACATTTCACAATACAACAATTACACACAACAATTTTTGTTGTTCATTGTGGTTTGTTCAAGGTGATAACGTCCGAAGCCATCGATTGGAAATCAGGTTCAGGTTGAGTTTGGGGTAGGTTTTTCTTGAATAAAACCTTGAAGGTTTTGTCCTCCAAGATTTGTCGAATTTGGGGGTTTTTGGTACGAACCGTCTCTACAACATTCAGCTGAGATAAGGTGAATTGCGTAGGAGAGATTCAGGTTCGATTTGTTGGTGTTTAAGATTAGTCAGGTTGGGGTTTAAAGAACACAAGGTTATTCAACAAAGGGGCTGTAATCGCAGGTCTATCCACAATAATTGATGGTCTTGATTCAACTTGAATCAAGGAACAAGGAGAGAAAACATCATCAACAACCATAGATTTTGTTTGTATATTTTGCTTGTCTATCCTTGTATAAACGTTTCAACTCTACAGGTGATATCTATATTATATCGAGCTCAAATCTAGTTTTAGAATTGAGGGCAGACGTACCCTGAAGCGAGGACGGCGGGGGAACTGCCTCAACAAATCTTTGTCTCCTTTATTTTTCAGCACTTTCATTTTTGCTTGATGATTGAGTAATTTTAGTATAAGCAATTTTATCAAGTTAGCATTGGTTTTAGTAAGTGATTATCACTGTTTTTAACTCTAGTACAATAGTGTATTGTACAAGGAAGCTAGAGTCACTTACTCAAGGCAAAAATCACTTGGAGTGCCTCGCACGCCAAGTGTTTGATAAATTCTCTACACAAAAATTCACTTGTATTGTTTACATATTTTGGTTGGCATTGTGTAGCATTGAAACTAGTCTTACTAATTAGTGATATTAATCAATTGATAGTGTGACTAGTGTGGTGATTCTATTTGCTCATTATCATTTCCATAAGGCTAGACGCATATCCGGTCTTCTAATAATGGTTCGTTTTAGACGGTATTTTTCCACGGCCGCTTCCGCATATCAAATATTTTTAAAACCAATTTCTAATTGGTAGCGCCGACTGATTTTTTAATTGGGATCTATTCAACCCTCCCCCTTCTAGATCCATGCCATCGTCTAACAAATCTAAGGCTAATGGATTTCTATGTTGAGATGCAAGTACGAAATTAAGTGCAAATTGAAATATAATTTAAATCAAGATAAAGCGAAATATCAGTATATAATTCTGTCAATCATCAGGGGTTCAGTAATTCATGGGTGTAAAGTTAAAAGGTAAAAATGTTATTCTGTAGAAAATACTCATTTAAAAGACTTTATCTCACACTCTCGTGTTTATTGACTTAGACTACACTCTTAAATCAGAATGAAGGCTCTCGCTCTCTCATTTGTATTTAAAAAAACTTTTTGAAAATAAGTAGATCCTAATTAACCCTAAAGCGCTCTCACTGTATTTAAGATTAATGTTCAGTTTCAGTTATTCGGTTAAGACCTCAAACTCTCACTTTATTGATCTTAACCTTCGTTACCTTTTTACTCTCGTAACAAAAGTTATTAAGTTATTAAAAGAAACTGAGACCAAAAGAATAAATCTGTTAAGGTTACGCCATGAATTACTTAACCCCTTACGACCGATCGTAATTACATACCGATATTAAATGGTTTAGGCAGACATGACTTGCATGCTATTACAAAATTTAATCTTAATGTTAGACAGAATATAAAAGGAATGCATAACAAATAACGATGAAAGTAAATAAATGGAACCTGACAATATTACGAGGAACAGAAAAACACTTGGATTATGGAGGCCGGCTTGCAGTTCAGTACAAAGTTACAACCAATACGTAAATCCTAATACTAAGTGGCAATTGTTTCTCAGTATGAAAAACTATGGCCTTTTATAAAATCCCTCGAAAAACTACTTAAAACTAAGAATTATGAACTGTTGAAAAGAAATATTAAAAACTGAAATCAAAAGTGGCTCCCCTTCTTCGAAAATCGTCTGTGACTTTTATACTTGTTACTAGCGTCGGTTACCTAAAAACTCAGGGCAAAACATGGAGAGAAGGCCGGAGAAAATGTAGGAAGGAGTTGAGAAAGTGTAGGGAGGTTTTAAGGAAGTGGCACACGCCACCTCCCTTTCTTTTAGGAGTGGCAGTCGCCACTCTCCCTTCTTTCTAGGAGTGGCACTCGCTACTCCCCCCTCTCTTTGGAAGGTGGCAGACGTCACACTTCCCTTGCTTCTTCTTGGTGGCAGGCGCCACACACATGTGGCAAGTGCCACTAGTGTGTGGTGGCCCCCACCTTATTTTTTTTTCTTTTCTTTTCTATTCTTTCTTATTCTTTTCTTTCCTTTCTTTCTTCTTCTTTTCTTTCCATTTCTTTCTTCTTTTATTTCTTTAATCCAAATTTTCGATAACCTACAAAACACAAGAAAATAGATGCGTAATAGAACATAAATCAGATAAAGTAACAATAATCGCAGATAAAATTCATGTAAGTCAAGTCAAATATACGATATAATTTCGCGTTATCAATATGAATACAAAATTATGACTCACGTCTATATACACATTCTCTAAACCCTAAAACTTCTCATTCATGGCTGATAACTAACTTGATCGTTATTGTAGTTGCATTTATAACACCATTTTTCATAACAACCGTCGTCCTTAACCACTCAACCATTTGTGAATCAACCAATCTAAGTCCACACTAGATCATATTCTATCTAACTAAACTTAGTTGATTTTCATACTCGTATTACATATATCTATCTTTATCAATATTATCACTTCAATAACATTCCTTACACTAAAACACAATCATCCTCAAATAATGTCAATATAATCAAAATAACATAAACAATCTAAATACACGTATAACTCATTTGAATCACATAATCAAATATCAACCCATCCACATAATCCTAACCATATTTACTTCCGTCTCATGCTTTTAAAAAAACAATGTTTCAAAATAAATATTTTTTTCACTTTTCAATTGTATTTTTTAATTATTACACTTTTCATTCCTCCTAACACATTTATACGTTTAATTTAATAAAATTATAATTTCTTATGATCCTATCATTATATTCTTTAAATGCAAAAACCATTAAACCAAAGTTATTACTATTAGTGTAAAAATAACATTTCCCTTGTAAAACGGATGGACTAGGAAACAATACAACTAGCAATTAAAAAATAAGTACGAAAATTATGGTATATGGTCGTCATACCTGAAAATAAACCGGGTCTAGGTTAAGTGGGCGGTAGAGTAGAGATAAAGATTCAACAACGGATGAAGGACACACGTAAGCCTCTCTTCCTTCATAACTCTCTCTCTCTCTCTCTCTCTCTCTCTCTCTCTCTCTCTCTCTCTCTCTCTCCTGTTTGTAGGTTCTTGCCCTAATCACCCACCACAGATCTGTTCCCTCCATTTTCAGCAAGTAACTCTTCCTTTCCCTCTTTCTCTTTTTCCTACCAATTTAATTTAATTTCATCAATTTCTTTATCTAGCATTCTTTCTCTAACAACATTTAATCAAATTTTGGTTTAGGTTTTTCTTCAATCCAAGTTAATCTGTTCGCGTTTTTTGATATGATGATATTGAAATTTTTTTCTTCCTATTATTGTATGTGATAGTATAAATCTACACCGGTTCGTTGGATTTCATGTTTATTTGTCAACTCTTTTAGTGTTTTTACCATGATGCACTTGAAGTGTTCGATAAATGAACCGGAACTTGGAGTTCGAATTGAAATATTGGTAATTTTCGTATGCTAAATTTAGTTGTTAATGTTTTCAAATGAAAGTGTTTATGATGGTTATGGTCATTTGACTAGAGATGATCCAAATTAAACTTTGTATTGGTAATTTGATAAAGATCTGATTGATTTGATTTATGTACTTTTTGTTATTTGAATCTGCTTCTTAGCAATGTGATATGTTTGCTTAAAATCTAGGTTTGTAATTTGAGGGTTCTCCCCCTCTTATGATCGCGATTCAGACTATATCACCACCACCCACTTTGTCTAAGAGTGTTTTAGCAAAAACAAAAAGCTAATACTGGTGTGGTAGCAGTTATAACTCAAACTGCTGCTCATTTAGTTCATGTCTATGTTTTTGTTTGGTTAACGACTTGAAGTCCGGGTTTTGTTACTCAATTATTTAGTCGGTTGGAAATAATTAGGTTGAGTTACTTAGGGAATTAGACTGTTACATATCTAACTAAAAGGGATGTGGAGTGAATTAAAGCATTAGGGTAGGGAGGTTGCATAGTGCAAACCTTGATGTCATGTGCAGCTATAATCAACAGGATTTTCTCTATTCTTGCTAGTAAACTTTCAGGGTTGTATTAACCGGTATCAGTACTCCGATCATGGAACCATATGACATGTTTTTGAAAATGATTCCATTAATTGATTGAAAGAAAGATTATTGGTGTCTGTTCAATGTAGATAAGTATTTTGTGGCGATTGGAGTAATTATGAAGTAGAAACTCAAGCTATCATGGATTGCAATGACTCTGTGAGGGGAGTGGGACAGTCAAATGGTTGTTTTTCTAGGAAGCGAGTAACTAGAATGACATATTATGGACTGTTGACAAGGTTTTGTTCAAGCATTTCTGGATAGGGTTTGATCTATCTTGTTGTGATGGTCATGAATTTGGATCATACCAAAATACATTTTCAGTTAAATGATAATATTTACAATTGCATTATTCATTTTTTTTATAGAACTCATGTTCTTAGATGTCTATCTAAATCATTTGTTCCATAAACCTATCGTAACTACTTTATTGAAAACTCATAACAAACTACTTAACGACAATGTGAGTTTATTTGCCTTTTGTTATTCAAATTGTTTTACAAGCAGTTTAAGAGGTTAGTCTTAAAAGTTCATTTTATTAATACCACCGACCTTTGCAGGTGTATTAAATCTTAGCGTACGGCTTTTCAAACTGTAGATACAGTTAATACTCATCATGGAGCTAAATTCTGTTAAAGATGCTTTTGACCGAGTTACTAAAAAGCAAAAGTTATCCAGTTCTAAAGCTCAAGAGTTGCTTGATCAGATCAAACAGGAAATTGAACGTGCTTTAGAATCGATGCAGTCAGTCAGTAACACTGATCAAGCGCTTGATTATAAAACTGTCCTGAATGAGCTGAAGGCCAGTTTACTTAAAATCGCCCCACTTGGCCAAATGGAAAGTACACAAAAGGAGCTAAATGTAGCACTCAACAAATATGGGAAGCAGGTTGAGAAATGTTTCAACCCTGATATATCCAAAGCTTACAGAAACATCGACATGGATACGCGCACTATAAATCAAATAATTGCCAACCATTTTTATCGCCAGGGTCTTTTTGATGTTGGGGACCATTTTCTAAGTGCAGTTGGAGAACCTGAATCTGCTGCAATTATGAAATCTCCATTCCTGGAAATGTATCAAATACTCCAAGCCATGCAGAATCAGAACCTGGAGCCAGCACTCAACTGGGCTGTGACTAATTCTGACAAACTTGCTCAAAGTGGATCTGACATTGTGTTGAAACTTCACTCGATGCAATTTGTAAAAATACTTCAAAATGGTGGAAGTAGAGATGAAGCCCTTCATTATGCAAGAACTCACCTTTCTCCTTTTGCTAGCAGTCATATTGCTGATGTCCAGAAGCTTATGACTTGTCTTCTGTGGCCTGGAAAGCTTGATAAGTCTCCATACCATGCATTACTTTCCCCATCTAACTGGGATAATTTGGCTGAGGAACTTAAAAGACAGTTTTGCAATCTTTTGGGGCAGTCATACAACAGCCCATTGAGCGTGACCGTAGCAGCAGGGGTCCAGGTTTTGCCAGCTCTCCTTAAATTTATGAATGTCATGGCAGGAAGGAAGCAGGAATGGCAGTCTAATAACCAATTACCAGTGCCAATTGAGATGGACGAGGAATTTCAGTTTCATTCTATTTTTGTTTGCCCTGTCTCAAAGGAACAAGCATCTGAAGATAACCCTCCAATGTTGATGTCCTGTGGCCATGTCCTCTGTAAGCAGTCTATCTTGAAAATGTCCAAAAATAGCACAAAAGTGTTTAAGTGCCCGTATTGTCCCTCTGATATTGATGCAGCACAGTGCAAGCAATTATGTTTGTGATTGCCATGGATTTCTATCAAAATCTCGTGCCATCTGAATTAAGTGGTTATAATATAGGTGTACCTTTATATGGTGAATGCAGAAGCCAATGGCTAGTTGTGATGTCTGTATGTTTAATACACTTGTAAATATACATTCTTTTTAGTTATGTTATGACTTGTGTTCGTGATTAGTTATAATGATTCCTACGGTTGTTAGAAGTTGCTAGACTAGATAGGTAGTAAATCTACATGAAATATGCTTTGAAACATGTTCACAGTTTCATACCTTTTTTCTGGGTATAAGCCAAGGTTAGAAAATGGTGGGTTTGACTCAATTTCCTCTAATCCATCCTAGCAAGATTAGTAGGAGCATTGCAGGTTTTATCACATGTTCATCTAATATTGACCACTTTCTGAAAGAAATAGATCTGCAAGATGCGTTTGTTATAATTTTTTTAAATAATTATTTTATTAATTTTAAAATGACAAGTTTTTTTCCGATAGAGATCACGTATTCTCTGCGTACAACTGCAGATACTAATCTCTTAAACCAGAGAGAATTACAACAAGCTGTAGCAGATACTATTCCCTTGAACCGGGAAGAATCACAATTGTCTGCAAAAAAATTTCTTAAGAGATTTAACAATAGTGTTTGAACATAGAATCTATGATAGTGTTTGAACATAGAATCTCTGATTAAACTCGAAGAAATTCTTACCTCTTTCAAGTGCTCTTGGTTAAATGAATAGTTAATCCTAATATTTTTTATTTTTTATTCTCTTTTAAATTTTTTTCTAAATATATTTATTTTAAACAAAAAGCTTAAGCTAAGGAGCTTAAATGAACATAAATTAGCTTCAGATTTTTTATTTATTTAAAATCTCTGAAAAAAAAACTCTAATTTTTTTAAAAAACAAAATTATTTTTTAAAATTAAAAACAAACTTACCCGTCTCTTTTTGATCCTCTTAAAAAAATAAGTGCTTGTTTGATTATACATTGCACAAGTTTGTTAAAATGAACTAACTGAGATTCTTTTTAAATAACCTATATATTTAAACAAAATACGATATAAACTTGTATTTCAATTTTTTTTATCAAATGACTTACATTCAATATGCAGACGCCATATGATATGACTGAAGTATTGAAGAATGAACCAATTTGCCATACTATATGGTGCCACCATTGTAACCGTTGCCTTAAAAAATCATACATTCAGAAAAGGCGTCATATGATATGACTGAAGTATTGAAGAATGAATCAATGTCATACTATATGGCGCCACCATTGTAACCGTTGTCTTAAAAAATCATACATTCAGAAAAGGCGCCATATCATATGGCACCTCAGTTGTTTCTTTTTTATATTAATTAATATTTTGTATTAAAAAGTTATGAAATAAAATTTTAAAAAATTAAAATAATTAAAAAAAGTTAAATTATAATATTTGTAATATAAAAAAGTGTACAACAAATGAAAAAAAAACTCAATGACCGGCCCTATCAAAACGTCCACCGGTTCCACATGGCAGTGAATTCGCGCGGTTTCGAGGTTTACCACGAGCTTGTAAGGGTGTATGTGGCCTTTGCGTGTTGACATGTGGAAGAGGTATTTGTTGAGATGGTCCCGACGTTTCTGATAAATTTTGAAGCATCTGTCCCCAATAGCCCCGGGGGCTACTTCCAACGATACTTCCGTAATTCAGTTCCATGCCCATGTTTTCGTAGTTGAGACGAGGTGGTTGTGTTGGGTGTGGACGGTATGGTTGGCCGAATTGGTATATTGAATCGTTTTAGAAACGATGCAATGGTTGTTGTGGGGTTTGGTAGTCAAAAAGTAGGGGCTATAGTTGGACGGTTGTGTGTTCATTCGCGGGGGGCTATAGTGGGCTGAGGTGGGGTCGAAAGAGTTATCGGGGCTATAGTTGGACGGGGTATGATCGAAAGAGTTATCAGGGCTATAAGCAGAAGTGATGTCAGTGTCGGGAGGTTTGCGGTAGAGGTAAGGCTCTTGTTGTTGTGATTGGGTTGATGTCATGAATAGGTTGTGGTTCTGGAAGATTGGTTGGGTGGATAAACTTGGTTGTTGGGTATAACACGATGTTTGATGTTGGGCATTTGTTTGTTTCTGTGTGTGTGAGGAAGAAGTACGTTGCAGTGGGTCAATCAAATATGTCGGCTCAGACACAAATTGTTGTGTTGTTGTAACCGACCTAACCCAAATCATATATTGATAACTTGGTCTAGCCCCTTCCACAACAGGGTCGGTTAAGATGTGCCGATGTCGATTTTTCCAATGTAGACACATCTCTTTTGCAAAGTCTTTCCAATGATTTACACTGCATTGTGTATCCACCCTAAGTTAATGCCAGTCTCCCAAAGACGTCGGAGTGACTGGAATATTCTGATGCATGCCGAAATGCAGTTTCACCCGATCACTTTGGATCATCTCCACTGTAGTGAACCGAATGATAGGTGTTTTAGTTGTCCACGCTGCAGCATCATTGGTGTTGGGCTGATGGTTGAGACCCTTGTACGACATCCAGACAAACTACATGAACAATAGATTTAATGAGAAAAATAAGGATGTGGTAATTAAATAGACAAAGTAATGGTACGTCGTTGGTAGATAAATTACATCGTCTGACCCAATGTGTTCTAAAAGGTTGAGGTAGACAATTATTGAGTTCCTGAGACATCGTTGGTAATTCATTTCCGGAACAGACCACCTAAAAAAAGTGACACAAATAAATTAGTTACAAAGAAACTTTTCACCAAAGTATACACGTTATGATTTTTAAAAATATGCTTACTTGTTTGCGTAGGGAAATGTGAATGGATTCTGGTTGATAGGAGCTAGTGTTGGCATTCTAGACCAACCTCACGCTTGAAGAAGATAGGCGCAACCATAAAAAGTACACGAATTTTTTTTTTGAATTTTTACATAGTGAACTATATAGATGGACGAGGACAGTTGAACCCCAACAATATGTTCACACTTTATTAATGTTGTGCAACAATGGTAAATACATAATATTTACACTATTTCCAGTACTTTCTGGAAATAAAAAATGACCAAATAATATCATAATATAGCACCGAGTTTTAAGTATCTTCTCATACTTGGTGGATTTCTCGTTTAACACGATACTATTGTAGTGTTCTCTTAGGTATTTCAAATTAATACCTTGGCCCCTCGGCCGACCTTCACGTTGTGGCTGAGGTGTTTCGACATAGAGAGGGGCGCTCAACAAGTCTTCGCAAAGTTGGTTATTAACACCAACTTTACCGTTGACAGCCTTACCATCGATGTGTAGGCCAAGTAACATGTAGACATCTTGTAGTGTGACAATGCATTCACTGAAAGGAAGGTGAAATATGTGGGTGTCTGGTCTTCAACGTTCTAGCAACGCTAGAATGAATTTGGGGTCCAGTGAGTACGATTTGATTTTTATCAAATCACCAAAGCTACATAAATCTAGGTATCCTTCTATGAATGGTTCGTGTGGTATGTATTCATGCACACGACAACGAAACCTTGATACATTTTGCCAAAGAATATAAATACCCTTAGTTTTAAAGAAAAATTCAACTTAGTAATGGATGACAAAACAAATAAAGCAAAACAATTACAATAAACTATGCGATAGTCTCAAATGTTCCTCTGTGATCGTTTCCCATTGTGAGTAGAGACACTGTGAGTAATCGTTCTAATGGTAGGTTGTGATGAAGTTATTGGCTTGCTGAAAGTTTGATGAGTAGAATTTGTAATATGATGAGAAGAGTTTGTACCGTGATGAGCATTTATTTATAATGGTGAAATGTGATGAGAGGAGTCACATGAAAATGCATGGTGAAACATGATGAGAATGGTGCAAGGAAGCATATAAGTGTTCTCTTATAAGATTCTTGGTTATTGTCATGCAGAGAATCTTGCAGTCATTGCATGTGAAGCCTTTGCTTGGTAGAGTGTAGTCTTGTCATGCATGCAGAGAATCCCATGATGCATGAAAGACATTGAATAGCGTGCCTGTAAGAATTTAATGTAGTCTTGAAAGTGTAGTCCTGCAAGACTAATAGTATTGGCATGTGACAACTTCCACTATTAATGCATGGCGAAATGTGATGAACTTTGTGCAAGGAAGCGTGCAAGTGTTGTCTTACAAGATTCTTGGTCATGCCGAGTGTAATTTTGTCATGCCGAGAGTTACATGAGGCATGCAAGACAATGAATAGTGTGACTGTAAGACTTTAGTGTAGACTTGAATGTATAGTTCTGCAAGACTAATAGTGTAGGCATGTGACAACTTTCACTATTAATGCAAGGTGAAACGTGATGAACTTTGTGCAAGGAAGTGTGCAAGTGTTGTCTTACAAGGTTCTTGGTCATGCAGAGTGTAGTCTTGCCATGCAGAGAGTCACATGAGGCATTCAAGACAATGGTTATGTTTTTTACTACATTATGACTTTAATGTCTTGTAAGTGTAATTGATAAGACTTTATTACAGCCTTTGAAGTGTAGGCATGCAAGACTATATGGTAGTTTGTAGGCATAATAAGAAGTGTGCATGCATGTGATAATGAATAGTGTTTTAAGACATGTGTTAGTCAATGTGATAATAATAAATGATAATAGGTAATAATAATAACGTAAATAATAATAATAGAACAAGACATGTGATGAGACAAGACAATTGCATGGAAGAAGAAGTACAATGATAATTGAGAAAAAACAATAATATGACCAAACTATATGTGTATTAATACACTAGAGATATATGTTTTATTATCGTATCATTTAGTAATATATCCTTCCAAACACTAAAAATCGTAAAACAATTCTTCCAAATAGGAGTTTAGTAACGTACTTGTTATGGCTCAAACACCACAATACATGATTAGTGCACATCTAAATGTGGTCCAGTTGGCTAAATCATCTACAAGAATCCTGTGTTTTTTGGCGGGCACGAGCCATGCAAATTTTTTTAGTTAAAGATTCAAGACGATGAATATGTGCG